TGTTTCTCAGTCAGGTCGGTTCTCGACCATGCCGTTTCTCGGCGCCAAGTCCCATTAGATATTCCACGTGGGGGACCGAGTTCCAATGTAGGAACTCGATCTTAATTCAATGGGACTTCAACGGGTTTATCGCCGCCGAAGTAATCTTCTTCATCTTCGTCGTCCGGGCAAGGTCGGTGGTGTGGCCGCAAGGTCGGGTCCTTGGGTTTACAAGTCGCCGGGCCACTCCGTTGAGACATATCGTCAGTCTCATCCGTTTCCTGGCCGGGACGTTCCGCTCTAGTCTTCTTCGATTCCTTAGCTGCCTGCCTTCGGAGCCGCAGCGCAAACGGCTGTGCGCCATGTGCTATGGCGTCCGACATCCAAGTTTCGTAAGGCGCTGAGTTGAATCCGCTGGGTAAAGTCTTCCTTTCACGGTACCAGCTAATAAATCTGGTCGAGTCGTCGCTGGGATCTATGTGATCCTCACGGAAGGCATACTTTGTCGCATGCCGTTCGTGGGTGTACAGCAAGTCGCGCATCCAGACGGCGAGGATAACACTTCTCATCGGTGTGCCGAGTTGGGCTACGAGGGTTTCCAAAGCCGCTGGTATAATCTCCGTTTGATACAGTCCGTACACGGTGTAACGGCAAAAGTAATTGCCAAGCCTTGCCGCAAAGATGAATCGCAGGAATGCCGTGGCTCCGTCTGGGGCAAAGTCAATCTCCCCTTCTGGAAGGTACTGGGTTAAGTCCAGTGCTGCCCGAGCCGCGGTAATAACAAAGGCTGGATGTGGGTCCGTGATGACGAACTGGGCAATACTCTCCAACTCGTCATGGGGGTATTCCCGAGCTCCTAGTTGGCTCGCACGTGTTCCGTCCGGGCTATACAGCGGTACGTTCAACAAGACCGGGTCCGTCATCGAGGGTAACGCATTCGATCTGGTGTATGGGTGTTTAACGTTTAGCGCTGTGTGCGCGTTCATGTTGAAGTCGGGTTGCCACTGATGTTGTTCCAGCAGCGTCTGGTATCCAGATCAGACGAGGAATTGGCGGAGGTTTTCTACCATCCGCCAAACTTGTGGTCGATTCCGTTCCTCGTAATTCATGACGTTCATGATGTGATTCGTTCGTTCGGTCGGATGTGGCATCACGACCTCGATTCCCTGTTGTCGGGCATGGTCGTAACGAGGATCTTCTCGGGCCGGCACTTCCACTTGTGGTAGTTGTGCCATCTGATCGGCCACGTCGACGTCCATTTGCTCGGGTTGAGCTGCTGGTTCAACTTGAGCTTCAGCCGCCGGTTCTGCCTGATGGGCTTCCGGCTGGGGTTCGGGTGGGACGAAGTCGAAGTTACGCTTCGACTTACTTGTTAAGTCGACTGTTTCTCCGGATCCAGTGCGTTTTCCTGGTGGAGGTCTGGTCGGTTCTTTTCCGACTTGGCGGATGACAGGTCGTTGCTCTTTGATTCTGTCTCAAAGATCAGCAGGGCCAATCCTATGTCGGAGGTCGTGTCCCGCGAGGTTTTTGCCGGGTCGGCGCTGCTGCTGTTGAGCCGCCGATTGAGTCCGAGTTCCATGTTGGGGAATCTGCTGAGAAACAGTTGGACGAGCCTGTGTGACTACTGGCGTTGCCCTATGTGGGATTGCCATCAACTGTTCCTCCGTCGCCGGGACAAGGGTAACCGGTCGTTGGGTTCCGTCCGGCATGTTTATCATCATCGTCACCGATGCGCCAGTCAATGGTCGATGTGGATCGCCGACGAAGACATCACGTATGTTGTGCATCAGTTGCTCGGTATTCGGGCGACCCTGTGTGGGTGCCGGTAACCGAATCTTTATTTCTAGTTCGTAAGAAGTCGGTGGGGGATGGACTTTCATTGTGGCCATCCGTTCCTTAACTTCCCTGCTCCGTTCCTCAACTTCTGATCCTCCAATTGTCGGTTAACGTCCTGTATTTGGCGATACTCCCACAGTCTATCTGTTAAGACTGGTGGTCGAGTTCCTTCCCATCTCGGATCGCGACTTCGTTGTCGCTGGATTATGGCCAAATTATCCTGGTCATGCGACTCTAGTTGGTCGACGAGGTATTCTCTGCCGGCCAGGTACCGATATGCGCTCAAGTTACCAGTGACGACATTAATGTAAAGTGCCGCTGCCTGAGCTCGGTGTTGCGGTCCAGTACCGACGGTCCGTTCATTGGTGAAAGACACAATGCATTGCGCACAGGGCAATCTGTTGTTGTCCCTCTTTGCGTTATCCCTGCACTGTTGGCAGTCCACCGTATAAGCTTCCGTACGAGTCTGTCAAAACAAAAATAAGCAAACCGTTTCTCGGTTGCGTCCTATAAGTTTACACCCTATGATTACTACGGTCGGGCCAGGTCGGTTCTCGAACTGGGCCAAGACGCCTTGGTGGTCGCCTAATGAGGTAAGTCGACTTCTGTTGGTCGATGACGTCTATGTGGTGTCAATGGAGGAAGGTCGATTATGCCACTCCTCCGACGCGTTCTGCGTCCCCTCATTCCCGTGTAGGTGCTCCAGTCGGCTCCGGCCGACCTGTTTGGTGCGAGTCGGCCGACTCGGTCGATTGTGCCGAGGTCGTTCGTTCCGTCGCTAGGTGTCCGTGCCGGTGAGTTGATGGGTTTAAGGCTAAAAACTGTTGCCCTCCCTGGACCTGGTCGGTGTTTGAGGCAAACCATTGTTGGGCAAGCCCTTTCGATAAGACGAATTCCAAGTCATCTTCCAGGGAATATCTCTTCCTTTCTTCGGTTGTGTCCGGTTTGGCCTTGTATTTAGGGTCGGTTAGCTGTGGTTCCGCTGCCCTCCATTCGAACTCGAACCGCGCTGTGAGTTGGTGGAGTATTTCTCCGCGGGTCAATCGTTCAGGATGCCAAGACATTCCCATGCACGCTTCGATGGCGTGTATCCATCCTTCGTATGTTGAAGGAGCCGGGTCTCCTTTAGTCGGTGGGAACTCGTAGTACATCCGCTTTGTGCTGATGTACGTACATATGATCTTCCCTTCATGGTATCCTAGGTCGCAGTAATGTCGTACGTTGTTTTGGCTTAGTTATCGCCAATCGCCGGTTTCATCTACCTTCCAATGTTGGAGGAGCTGGAACGCAGTCCTCGGTGTGGCGAACTTCGGTCCACGCGTCGCAAAGGCCTTTAGGGCGGCGAATGTGTACATCCATCCTGCGTCATATTCCGAAACAGCTGGCTTCGGTTTTTGGGCTGTTTTGATGTACTTCACCCTTACATTGGAAACCTGGGGATATCGTCCGGCAAAACTTCTATCGTGTCTCCATTAAACTCGGAAAGGAGTGGCCGGTGGTCGGAGTCGGGCGTTAGTGGTATTCGTCTACCGTACTGACGAGGGACCTATACTCCGCCATCTTCTTCGTTGCCCTTAGAATCATCGGCTTTGTCGCCGCTGTCCTTTTCCTCGTTTGTCCGGTATCTCCGGTTCGCCCTGCTGTTGAGGTGCTGGGGCCGACGGTGGTTTTTGACCGTTCTTATCGTCATCGTCATCTTTTGGCGATCCATTCCCAGGTGTTCGGAAATCGTTGTCGTCGTCATCGTTAGTTTCTTCTTCGGATGACGAGATCAGTTCTGATGACTTTGGTTCCTCCTTCTTCGTCTGATTCCTTTGGTTCCTCCTTCTTCGTCATCTTTTGGCGATCCATTCCCAGGTGACTTTGGTTCCTCCGTCTTCGTTCTGATGACTTTGGTTCCTCCTTCTTCGTCATCTTTTGGCGATCCATTCCCAGGTGTTCGGAAATCGTTGTCGTCGTCATCGTTAGTTTCTTCTTCGGATGACGAGATCAGTTCTGATGACTTTGGTTCCTCCTTCTTCGCCGGCTTCTGATTCGTCTTAGTCGACTTTGACTTTCCCTTCTGTTGGGTCAAATCTTCCGGCTCCGGCGAAATTTCTATGGGCGAGGACGGTGGGAGTGACTGTACGTCCTTCGGTATGAAACGTCCTTTCGCACTCCGACTCGGTTTCGCCGTGCTTGCTCGTCCTGTGGGAGCCGATGCCGTACCGACATAGGTTGTCGGTTCGAAAGGTGCTCGTGGTCGGGGTAAAGCTTGGACTCGTCTTTGTGACGACTGTCCAGCCGTACGAGCTATATGCAGCATGTTAGCTGCTTCATCCGACGGTTGTTCGTTCGAATCGCTATAAACTTCGGTAGGTTCCGTGCCCGCCGGAGGCTTGTCCGTGTTGACATAAGACATCCGGAGGTTGAATTCACGCCGCTGTTGTTTCGGTATGAAGTTGGGCACGGTGTACCGTACAGGTACATCGCGTTCCGCGTTGGTCGTCTGGAAGGTGTGTTCCTGGACCAGGGCTTCGACTCGGCCTGCTATATGGTCGATGATGTCGTCGATATTCCCCTTTTTGTCCATGTACATTACGTTATATACACGGGCGATTTGGACCAATGTCGATCCACGGGGATTCGTGGTGTATCCGATGCACCTGGCGATTCTAGTCGGTGTATCGTCCGCGTTCCTTGCGGCTGCACTTCTAAGTGCTTCGATGAGGTCCGGTTGGATCAGTTCAGCCATCCGTCCCCATTGTCGGTGGACGGCTACTGCTAATCCAAAATCCAAAGTCCAGCCGACGATCTGCATCATGAGTTGATGCGTTAGCCACGTTCCGGTTTCGCCTCCGGCTTGGATATTATTCGACAAGTCTTGTACCAAGGACTGGTAAATGTCCTTGGCATTTTCCTTAGCGTTCCTAATACTTTGGACGACTTTGACGTGAACTCGGACGGTACGGATTATCGTATCGACCGGGTCGTCCTCCTGTTCGTCTGGGAGGCACTGGCGTACATTGTCTGGAGCTGGCCATTGTGATTCATCGGTGTCCGCTCCGTGCTTGAAGATTTCCTTCATATCTCCTTTAAATCCCTCGTAAGGATCGTCTTCTCCGTTGTCGGAGATCGAATCCTTTGCCTCAATCTGGTCGGATTCCGCATCGGAATGTGGTTTCGATGTGGAAGGTTGGGGATCTTCAGTCGACCGTCGGCGGCTTGGACGACTTCTGTGGTCGACTAGCTGGAGTTTTGGTCGGCTTTGTGCCGGCCCGCTCCATAACTTCCTTAAATTTACGCTCCACCGCTTCCTTGTCGTGTGGTTCTCGAGCCTTTTCCTTCTGCTCAGCTTTTTGTGAGCCGGCGTCTGAGATGTCCAAGTCGTCGGATGACTTATGCCGCTTGGCCGGGTTGGGCTTCGGCGTCTTCACCGTAGAGTCCGACTTCGGTTTAGTCGACTCCTTGGCTTCCGACTTCACTGGTTTCTTCTGTGTTTCCGTCGGTTGCGGTTTAGCGGGCGGTTTTGCCGCTTCCTTCTTAGCCTTCCGTTTATCCTTATGGGACTTCGTGGAATTAGCCGAGTTAATGACTCGTAAATCGAGGTCTTCTTCGATCTGCACGGAAGGTTGTTCAGTCGGTGAGGGAACTTTCATCTTAACGACGGGCTGCTGTACCGTCTTCTTGGTCGACTTGGGATCCGGAGCGGTGACTTTGTGTCGAGTCGGCGTAGCCAATTGTAAGGCTTTAGGTCGACTTTTCTCCGCCCGGTAATGTTCTCCCATACGTTTCATGACGTCGGCCATCTTCTCGGTAAGTCGGTCGGGGTCGCGCCGAGCTTTCGTGGTATTTCCGACTATACTGGCACGTCGGAGTCTCAACGAGTGCCAAAGTTCCCTATCTTCCGGATACGCCATGTCAATGCAATCGTCCTGTTCCGATCTCGTCAAGTCTTTTACGTGTTGAAAGGCGGGATCGTCATGGAGTTCCCGCGACGAGTCCTGAGGTGGTTTGGGCTTAGTTATACTCCGCTTGGTCGGTATGTTGACCGGCTCGTCTGCCGACTCGTTCGTTCGAGACTCGTCTACCGTTAGACGTGGGCCGGAGTGTATCGAAGTCGGTTTGTCCCTTTGTGGTGACGTTTCGACCGTGGTTTCGGCTCGTTCTTCCGAAGGGGACGTTGTGTCCATCTCTTCTTGGGTTTTCTTCGGTTTCGTCGGGGTGTTCCGAGGTGAGAACGTAGGTGGTTTCTCAATCGTCGGTTGACTCGGCAGCTTAGTCGGCTGGGATGCTGATCGGTTCGGTGAAATTTGTTTTACCGGCGATCTACCGCGTTTTGGCGTGGATCCCTTGGGTGGTGCTGCCGCCTTTTGTTGAATGGAGTCATCGGAGTCGACGTCGTCTTCGTCCTCCTCTTCTTCGCTACTGTCCGACATTGTTATCGGAATCTTTTCAGTTACCTCTTCTCCAGCCCGAGGTTGGACCTCCAATGTATAGGCGCCCGGGTTGATGTTCGGGTTGCGGAGACGTTAGATCGTCAATATCATGTTCGAGTCGAGCGGGAGTTGTCGTAGGTCCTGCTTTCCGCACCTTAGAACCATCAACCGTCTCAAGGCTTTGTCTCTATCCTGGATCGTAGCGTGAATCTTCTGAGCCATTTGAGTCTGTTGCTCTTCCGACATGGTTCGATCTCGGATACCTCCTTGAAGTTGTGCTTTATAAAGTATCCGTTGAAGATCCATCGTTTTGGCTTGGCTGACCAACTTCTTATGGACGCCTGGAGTAAATAAGGCCTTTGCTCCCATCACTTTCCGTGACGGGCTCGGCTTTTCTTCTGCCGGAGGTAAGGAAGAGGGAGTCGCCTTTAGCAGTTCCAAGAGTTGTTCCTTGGTTCTGACTGGTGATGGCGACTTCGACGGGAAGAGACGTCTGCGTGGTCCGTGCTCTTCAATGTTATCAGTCGCTTTCGGCTTCCTTAAGAATTTCGGTGAGTTTGATCCGCCTGTTTGGAGGACAAGTCGACCGTCAGGTGTTCGTTCACTCTGCGGTTCTCTTTGTGAGAGCCCGGGTAACGTTGTTGGTCGTTCGAGGGGCTTAGGTCGGCTACCTTCTGTTGCTCCGACTTCTTCCAATGTGTCCATCGGCTCATCCTCGCCTTCGAGTCCCCGTACTGATAAGTCGTACATCGGCTCGTCTTGGTGACTCACCGTTGGGACTACCTGTGTCGGCTTGACAGGTTGTACCTTAGGCTTCTTGGCGGAGGGCGGCTTATTCAGCTTCCTCCGTTGCTCCGCTTCCTTCCGTTTATGGAAGTCGTCTACGAAGGACTGGATTATGGCCGACAAAGTTTGCAGCCGCTCCCGATTCTTTGCCGACCACACTGTTGTTGGTCGGAGGATGAATCGGGCTTCCTTGGCGTTATTCTCCAAGTGTCCGAGGTTGATGTCGATCTGACAGTACTGCGGGCTCCGTTGGTCGGTTTCGTCCATCATCTTTCGGAGTACGGAAATGACGGCGTCCGCTCGCAGTAACTGAGTGTTAACTGCTTTTACCCATTCCAGGGCGGGTTTTGCTGGGGGAGCTGGAGGTGGAAGTCGAACCGAGTCGAAGGTCGGTTTCCAAACTGACTGGATCTTTGTGATCCGAGACGGTCGACCTTCAGCCATGGCATTTGTTACCAGGCTGGTCGGTTCCTTCTCCTTGTCTCTCTCCTTTTCTTCCTCGTACTCGTTTACTCTTGTTTCCAACCACGAGGTAGTTTGGATAAGGTGTTGTCAAGTCCTAGTCGTTTGTGGGGCGTCCGGATGACAAAGTCGTCGTATGAACCGTGCGTTGTTTCCCCATGCCAGGATATCTCGATGCAGGTCGTTTGCCTCCTGACTGTTATCTACGCTGAAATTTCTTCGGGCTCTCATCTCTGTGATGAGTTCCGCTACTTTAGCCAGCAGTTTGACTACATGTGGCGCGACCGTGCTCGGCAGTTCGTCCGTGTCCGGTATGGCTTCCATGATCCGAGCTTCTGTGGCCGGAGACATGGGCCGGTCGGCCATATCCATTGGTTTCGGTTAAGCCGGGCCTGCTGTTGAGGTCGGCTGGAGTCGAATCCGGTCTGTTGTCGAAGTCGGCTGACTCGAAGTGGTCGGCTGTTGCGACCCGGATGCGCGTTGTTCCGCTTCTTTCCGGTGTTCTACGAGTTCTTTTCGCCGTAATATTTCGAGATCGACTTGCACGTCTTGAATGTGCATCCGCGAGATCCTTATTTGATCCTCAATTGCCGTCCGAATGTTACGGATGGTCGGATCTGTTCCGTCCATATTGTCGACTTGGCGTTGCAAGTCGTCGGCAATCTTCTGTGTTCGAGCCAACTTCTGGTTAAGGGCTTCACGCTGTTCTACCAATGTGGGCTCCAGCGGTTGTTGCGAGGCAGTTGGCTGCGACTGGTGGAGGTCGGCTAAACCTTTTGTGGGTTAGCCTCTAGGATTTTCTACAAGTCTTCGACCCGCCGGGAGCAGATGCTGTACTGTTGATCCAAAGCGTCACGCATTTGCTTCTCCATGGCGTTATTAGGGTCGAGTTGCCGGAGTTGTTTTCCGAGCTTCTCCATGACGTCAACCGCTTCTCGGTACTGATCTTCGACTTTCCCAGTGTCGACTTCTTGTTGGTCGACCGCGCTGTCTACGAATGGGAGTTGAACATCGAGTCCCGGTGATGGAACTGGAGATGGTTCGTCCTGTCTTGGCGCTCCCGCTTTGTTCGGGTTTGCCAAGTACTGTTTCACATAGTCGATCACCGAATGAAGTACTTCGTTAAGTCGGTCTCGGTTCGGACCTGGTGATGGGGTTCCCCATGAGCCTAGAGTATCGGCCCAATCCAACTCGAGTCGTAAGGCTCGGTCGATCCGTGCGAGGTCGGTTGCCTCCTGGTCGGTTAGGGTTTCACTAAGTCGGTGGTAGAAAATATCAGCTAAGTCTTGTCCGGCTTGGACGATTATGTCCAAGTTACCAGGTAAATTTTCCATCGGCGTCGTGCCGACTAGAGTCATCACCGCTGTCGTAGTCGGTGTTGCTCGGCGAGGTGGCGACGGCGTCGCGATCCGAGTGTACTCGGGTTCCGCGTTGAGGATCTCTGTGATCCGTTCAACTACCGACCTGAGTTGCCGTTCGTCGACATCAGTCGGTTCTTCTTTGGGGATAAGGTCGTCTGCCTTTTTCAGGTAGGCCGTCAAATCGTTCATCTTCTGCCGTGCCACTCTAAGGGTTTCAGGATCCGTTGGTGTGCTGTTCACAAAGGATCGCTGGAGGTCTTCCAGTAGATCCCATCCATCGCTGATGGTGGCTGACATTCGGTGACGACGTTCCTTCCGCATCGCCGAATGCATCTCCGCCGCCGATGAAGTCGACGGTAATGTATCCGGAGTCTTCCTGTCGAAGTCCGGTGGTCGGCGTTGACTTCGGCTGAAGTCTCGCAGCTGGTTTATGCCGTTCTGGACGAATTGAGAATGGACTCCCGGTTCGACCACACCTGGTTGTATCAGGTTCCTCACAAGTTGTATGTGGGCGGTGAACTCGGAAATTATCTTCTGAGCATTCGGCTCGAGTCCCTTTTCGGCACGTTGCTGTATCTGCCTTAGAATTCCTTCCGCCTCTTGTATGGCATTTCTGCCGTGGGCGATTACCGTGTCACTTGCCAAAGTCGTCAACGTTACGGCCTGTGTGGTCGTCGCTGGCGTTAAGGCTGTGGCGAGGTGGACTTTCTGTTCCTCCGACTGGATGAGTCTGTCCAAGTCGGTATGCCGATTGTACAGTTGTTTGTACTCATCGAGCAAGGCTTGGAATTCCTGGGGGTGGTTATCTTCTTCTGTTGGAAGGGTAGCCATCCGTTGCCTAGTATCGTTCGATCGGGCAATTACGTCCTCCCGTTCCCTCTTCAGTTCGGTCAGTCTTCGGATACGTTCCGAGTTAGTCATTTGGGATCCTGTGAGTGTGCCCCCGTGACAACCTGTGTGGTCGGCAACGGTGGTGACGATATCGGTGAGGTGCTGACGTCTCCTGGAATAGCCGTCGATCCTTCAGTGTTGAAGGTCGGAAACTTTTCTGACCAGCGAGCCCTGTTTATACGGCCTATGACTGCTCGAAGTCGGTTTTTGTTCTCCTCTGTGGCGAGCGTACCGGACTTCATTAGATCTTCAACCGACTTTATGTCGGTTATGAGATCGTTAATTTGGCTAAACTTAAAGTCAAGGCTTCCAGGCCAGGCATGGTCGTAGATATGCTGAATGGTCTGTTTGCCTATGAGGATCGCTTTCCAGCTTCTGTCGGCTGGCCCTCCTTTCCGATTCGAGCTGTCATAACATGACAAGTTGGGACCTGTTGTTCGGCTCCTTGTGGGTCGCTCTGGATCATCTGTTGTATCCGTCGAACGTGCTGGTTCAGCCTAACGCTTGATCGTCCGTGGCTGGGTATCCAGGTGCCGTGAGTCGTCCGGCTATCCGGAGACTCCAACGAAGGGCGCTGATTCTATTCGCTGTTCCGTCGACGGTCACCCGAGTTTGTAGTGTCATCCTCCAGCTGTCGAGGAGTCGTTCTCCCCTGACCAGGTTTGGTTGTACCTGTTCAGGTGTGAGTACCCTCACTCCATCCGACCGTCGTTCGGCCGCTTCTAAGTTCTGGGTCAGCTAGGGATGTCGCTCCGCTCTGTTACGGGCGTTCTTCATCCGGTTGCTAATTGCCATCAGCAAAGCTGGGTCCGTCGGCATACCGGTTTCAGGTACGATCGAAGCCACTGTGTGTGTGCTTCGATGGTTGCTCGGTCGCTATTGAGTTCGATAGCCTCCGGAGTTCCTTTTTGTGTATCTTCCAATATTACGTCGATCCGTCCGATGACTATGTTAGTCATCCGCAGAAGGTCTCTGAGCTCCTGTAGTGTTGGGAGCGGTTCGACCGGTGGTCCTTGTTGGACTTGCTGTGTCGGGTTCAACTGTAGAGATGGCACCATAATTGGTGGCAAGTCTTGGCCTACGTTTAATGCCATCATTGGTTGAGGTCGGCTCGTCGGAACGACTGCTGTTTGAGTCGTCGTCGGCTGTAGAGCTCGGATTTCGTTATCCTTCTCCGTCAGCTTCCTAGTCCAATGCGCGATTTGGTCGGAGTTGCACCGGACGGCTGAGGGATAGTGTTCCTTGGTCGGATCA